GCGATTAGCTAGACTGTGTCAGTCAGTCCGTCTGTCCCGCCTTTCCTATTCTCTTCTTTTTTTTACCCCAGCGCTCCATCTACAGTGTGGGAAACCAAGTCGTTTCTCCGGACTTGGGCCGTGTGGGTTAAAGGGAGGCGTGGATAGGAAAAGCGGGACAGACGGACTGACTGACACAGTCTAGCTAATCGCGCAGCTAAATGCGATTTGGAAGGCAAGGTCTCCCCGAATTAGTGCATGAATTTCCTATCGATCCGCCCGCGGTTCCATTCATCTCTGACAAGTCCCCCTGCGCACCCGCCCTCTAGCTCTGGACGCCTCCTCTCTCACCCCTACCCCTCCCCATCCGGCTGCAGAGAAAAGCCCCAAGCTCTGTGTTCTGGCCCTGTACGGGTTCCCCTTTCGAGAAGTAGCCCCCAGCCCGCCAATGACTTAAATCCCTATACAGACTCAGGGTGCAAGGGCTCCCTCCCGCCGTGGGGAGGAGATAGGGGCCTGTAAAAGGTAGAGAATGCTGGGCAGAGGTGAGGCAGAACAGGAGGGGCTACACTGGATGCCCCAACTTCTTAAGGGATCTAGGGTTTGCGCTCTGCCTAGCGCCCCAACAGGCCCTCCAGTCGCAACCTGCGCGCGCTCTCTCTCTCAATCTCTTTGATCCCGGAGACAGCGAGGCAAGGAGGGAGTCGCCCCGCAGGAGCCCTATGTAAATCCTGCTGTTGGGTGGGTGGGTGGGGAGGGGGAAGAGAAGAAGGGGAAATAAACCTCTTTGGCTGGAGTAGGGTCCGGGTGAGCAGATTTCCTTATCCGGGAATCGCAGGCGGGGCGGCCATTGGCTCGGAGGATCACGTGGGCGCCTAACTTTGTTCACTTGACAGTAAGTAGGAGGGCTTTCGGAAACAGGAAAACGAGTCAGGGGTCGGAATAAATTTTAGTATATTTTGTGGGCAATTCCCAGAAATTAATGGCTATGAGTTCTTTTTTGATCAACTCAAACTATGTCGACCCCAAGTTCCCTCCGTGCGAGGAATATTCACAGAACGATTACCTACCCAGCGACCACTCGCCCGGGTACTACGCCGGCGGCCAGAGGCGAGAGAGCAGCTTCCAGCCGGAGGCGGGCTTCGGGAGGCGCGCGGCGTGCACCGTGCAGCGCTACGCGGCCTGCCGGGACCCTGGGCCCCCGCGGCCTCCGCCACCGCCCCCGCCGCCCCCGCCACCGCCCGGGCTGTCCCCTCGGGCTCCTGCGCCGCCACCCGCCGCGGCCCTCCTCCCGGAGCCCGGCCAGCGCTGCGAGGCGGTCAGCAGCAGCCCCCCGCCGCCTCCCTGCGCCCAGAACCCCCTGCACCCCAGCCCGTCCCACTCCGCGTGCAAAGAGCCCGTCGTCTATCCCTGGATGCGCAAAGTTCACGTGAGCACGGGTGAGTGCATGGGCACCCCTTCCCCCTCCCACCCCTGGAGCTTTACACCGAAGGGACCTCGGAGGCATGGGGGGGGTGAGCTGGGGAAGCCAATTGTCCCCGCTATAAACTCGCCATTGCCAGAGATTTACGGTCGCCTGTTTTCAGAGCCACATAATTACATCCCCCATAAATTTTTATGGCCTGGTGGGCCCTGCGCCTTTGAAGTAGGTTCTCCATCCTCTTCACCATTCTCACCAGCGACTTTTTCACCAGGGAGATACAGTCTCAGTGAAGTTGAAAGTTGGGGAGGGGTATAGGAGGTGGAGGAGGAGAAGGAGGAGGTAATCCGTATTTAAGCAGAGAGTTGAGTCAACTCCCAGTATTTATTTTTTCCTTTCTTCTAGTCTGACTCCTTGGCTGGAGAAGCGGGCAAAAGTTTTCAGTAGGGGCAGGCACTGCTTGGAATCTGAGCAGCAGGGGTGGGAACTAAACAGAGGAAAGGTTTAGAGAAACCTCCCCTCCCTCTTCCACATCCTCATTCTCCCATTCTGGGGGCCCCAAGCTGAGGGAGAGAGAGGAGCAATTAAAGCCTTGGGGGATTCCTCACACACACACACATCCACCACCAGCACCAGACACCCAAACAACAAGGACACAGCACAACTCTCCAAAACTTGGAGGTCTCTTTCTCATCCTTGGGTCTTGCATTCTTCCCTTTTCGTTTTTCCCCCCTCCCTCTGAAGGAACTAGAGGTGGCAGGAGAGGGAGGGAGGGAAACACTGTGTTCACTGGAAGAAAGGGCTTTTCCTTTCTGGGGCAATAAAACTTTCTCTTTCTCCCTCTCTCTGTGTGTGTCCAGTAAACCCCAATTACGCAGGCGGGGAGCCCAAGCGCTCTCGGACCGCCTATACTCGCCAGCAGGTCTTGGAGCTGGAGAAGGAATTTCACTACAACCGCTACCTGACGCGGCGCCGGAGGGTGGAGATCGCCCACGCGCTCTGCCTCTCCGAGCGCCAGATCAAGATCTGGTTCCAGAACCGGCGCATGAAGTGGAAAAAAGACCACAAGTTGCCCAACACCAAGATCCGCTCGGGTGGCGCGGCAAGCTCAGCCGGAGGGCCCCCTGGCCGGCCCAATTGAGGCCTTCCCCCACCCCCGCGCTCTGGTGCCCCCCACCCACGCAGGAGCCACGAACCTCAGGATGGGGGTGGGCAGCGAGCGCGGGGGATGGGGTGGGGGGATGGGAGGGGGCCCGGGGCCTGGGCCCCGGAAAAACCTATCTGCCCTCCCCTCCTTTATATGCGAATAAACGCAGAAGAGGGGGAGGGGAAGCTTTATTTATAGAAATGACAATAGAGGGCCATAGGGAGCCCCCCCAGAAGCAAGATTCAAATCTCTTGCTTTCTTCCTAAAAAAAAAAAAAAGAAAGAAAGAAAATAAAAAGAAAAAGCAAGAAGGAAGAAAGAAAAAGACAGAAAGAGGAATAGGAGGAGGCCGCAGCTCCTCGTTTTCAGCTTTGGCGAAGATGGATCCGCGTTTCATCTTTAATCACGCCAGGCACAGGCCCATCTGTCTTGTTTACTCTGCCGAGGAGAGGACGGGCCTCGGTGTCGACCATTACCTCGACACCCGCTAACAAATGAGGCCCGGCTCGGCCGCCTCCGCCTCTGCTGCTGCCGCTGCTGGAAGACAGCCTGGATTTCCTTTCTTTGTCCCCTACTCCCGATACCCAGCGAAAGCACCCCTGACTGGCAGATAGTGCACTGTTTTGGCCACGGTAACAAACACACACACGCTCCCTCATCCTCTGTGCCTCTTCACGGAGGGACAAAATGACTGTTCACCCACTTCCACGTGGGATTGGGGGTGGGGAACAGAGGAAGGGAACAAGTAGGGGAGGGGGTGGCCTTGACAACTCAGGAGTGAGCAGGAAAATTGAGTCCAAGGAGAAAAAGAGAGACTCGCAGACCCGAGAGGCCCTTCCTCTGGAAGGCCAAGCCAAGCCATACCTGGCAGGGTGAGGGGCCAGTTGAGTTCTGGGAGCTGGACCTGACTCTGCCAGTCCAGAGTTGTACAGCAGAGGCCTGTCTCCTAGACTGAAAAGGAATGTGAAACTAGGAAATACAATGTGCCCCTCCCAGTCTGGGAGGAGGATGTTGCAGAGCCCTCTCCCACAGTTTATCATGTTGCATCGTTTATTATTATTATTGATAATATTATTATTACTATTTTTTGTGTCATGTTCGTCCTCTCTCCTCCTCTTTCTGACATTCCAAAACCAGGCCCCTTCCTACCTCTGGGGCTGCTTGAGTCTAGAACCCTTCGTATGTGTGAATATCTGTGTGCTGTACAGAGTGACAATAGAAATAAATGTTTGGTTTCTTGTGACCAGCACAGCGTGTTTTTGTTGAAACATTGGTGTAAAGATATGGACAGATGCCACCCAGTGTATATTTTAAGCACCCTAGTGGGTTCAGCCTCACGTTGTATGTGGTTGAAGATTTTTTTCCAAAGAGTCTGATGGGAATTTTTATCTCAGAGGACTCCAAATTGTGGTAGCTCATTTGTTATCCTTTTAGGGTAGGGTGTGTTTTGTTTTGGGGCTTTTAATATTTTCCCTTCAGTCCAAAAATGGATTGAAAGGGCTGGGAGGGCTGATTCCAGTCCCTAATGGGGGAAAATGTTTCATTGTAGGACACAAGAGGCTTAAGCACGGCAAAGCCTTTCATATCGTGATTTATTTGTCATAAGCAAATAAAATGCGGTTAAGCTGTCTCCTTCTAGACAGACGGCTCTTTGGTTATTAAAGTTCCGAGAGAGGATTCCATGAGGCCGGCCTCTTTCCTCACAGCATAAGAAGGTATTGCTTTCCTCTAAGGTGTTTAAGGCTTTAATGAGTCTAATTTTTTGCACAGATGTTTCTGGGTGTTTGCAGGTTTTCAGAGTATTTTTATATTACAAAGGAGCTAGCCGGTGCCATAGCTCAAACTCTGACAAGCAAATAGATAATCAAGAAGACAAATGGCCTCTTTTGTGAAGCCTTGCTCCTGTATTAATTTTCATTTTCTTTCTCATAGAAAGTATCGAAAGTATGACTGGGGACCAAATAGCTTTCTGTCTCTGAGGTCCCAGTCACCCCTAGAATGGAGTGGGGGTAGGGGAAAGGGGTACAGGTGACCCTCAGAAGCTCTGTCAGGCTCGGATTTGCTTTTGTGCAGCACTGCTTAGAAGTTCTAAGGTCTGGGGGCTCCAGCCTCAGGGTCTCTGGTCCATTGGTTATCCAGGGTGCAGCCACCCCATCTCCAAAAAGCTCGGGGCTCAGGAGAGCATATACAATTAAAAGTCGTTTTTTCTGTCCCATCTCCTTTCAGAAAATAAAAAGAACCAATCCCACCCGAATGTTTTCTTGTTATTTATTTTGCATTCTTCCCGTTTGCAGCTCTGGTAGTTGGAGGCTGGGTAGGGCAGGGGGAACCGACAGGTCGTTGTCCCCAGCCGAGAAAGGGCTGCTGAACTGTCCATTTCAATGCTGCTGGGAGAGTCGTGAAAAATCGCTGTGGACCTGGAGGATGAGAGGGGAGAGCTTTATTTGGTCGGATCGCGGTGTGATGGTTTAGCTGCCAGGGGATGCCTCGGCCCTGAGTTGGGGGGGAAAATAGTTCTTAAAAAGCATATGCCCCCTAAGGAATGTCTCTAAAGAGCCAAATCAAAGCTGCTCCTTGGAAGGTATGAATAGAATTTAAAACAAAGAAAAAAAGATTTCTATGGAGCTTAAAGTTCACAGCCATTCTGTGTAGACAAGAGCTAAGAAAAATGTGAGAATTATACAGAAAACCATTAATCACTTCTTTTCTTTAAATACGTATCCTCTCTCCTTTGTTATTATTCAACAGCAAACCTCCTCAGACCGGCTGTTGGGGGAAAAAAGTGTTAGCCGTCTCTCCCGGATCTGCGAGGGGGAAAAAATTTGGAACCATAAAGTTGAAAACTTTTTTCTCTCAGTTTGGAAGAAGGCCTTCGTCATGAATGGGATCGGCGGAGTTCGGGCGAGAGGAGGCGAGAGGCGCAAAGGTAACAAAGCCCCGGCCTGGGCTGGCGCTTTTTGATCGTTTTATGAGCTCTTTTCACAAGTGAAAGAAGAACTACTCTCTCGCCTCCTCCTTTTTCCTTTTTAACTCTCTTGGCTGGGTTTTTATGGTGGATGCTTCGGCAGGTTTGCTCCCTTTTATGATGACTGATGCTTGGGTCAGAGGGAGAGAGAGGGGCCTCGACACCTGGAGAGTGTTTGAACTGGTTGAGGCTGAGGTGTCAGGGCCCATGAAAAACCTTAGAGAAGAGGGTTGCTTTGTGAGGCAGTTCAGAGGTACTTTTCTGGTTTTGGAAAATGCATGCAGGCACAGCGAGCCCCAGCATGTGTGCATGGGTGAGTCTAGTGAGGTGCATATGTGGTCAGGGTGTTCCTGTGACTCTGCTTGTCTACACTGGGGACTGGTGTCCCCTATCCCTGTTTACCGGTGAGACGTTGTCACTGCTGCCTCCCGGAAAAATCGAATCCAGCGCTTGGATGGAATGTTCCAGCTTTGGAGCGGGTATAAGTAGATATGTTTTTTTTTTCTTCTTCTTCTTGTGTCTAGCTTGGGATTCTAGACAAATATGTGCTACTCTCTGGAGCAGGAAACTGCTCAGTTCGAAGGCGAGGTGTACTGATGCAGAAATACTTCTCTTCTGCTCTGTCCCCCCAGCTTTCTTCCTGGAGGAGCGATGTTGGTTCGGTTTGGTTTCCCTTTGCTCTCCTACTTTGGAGTCTCTGTTCTCTCACCTCTGCAGCCCTGTTTCTTAGGCTGAAGGAGTCACTGGGCTCTACAGCCGACCTGAATGTGCTGGTCCTTTTTCCCTGAGGCCTCACTCAGGGTTTGGAGGCGGGGGGCTGGCAGGAGAGAGAGTTCATGGAGAGGCCACGTTTTCTAGGCGATTAGCTCAGTTTTAGAACCACAAAATGACCTCGGAAGCCCCTTGACCTCGCTGAGACTGGACATTGTGTTAGTTCTTGCCTCCTGCCTAGGAGGGAGAGTCACACTTCTGCAGGGAGGGTCCTTGGCCTGTCCTGTGTCCCATCTAATCCATCCCCCTCTAGGCTCCAAGCCCATCTTTGTGATTTTGGAACTTTTGGATTATTTTTCTATTACTGTCCACTGGGGGAAAAGGCATAAAGGTTTTTAGCCCAAGGGTGCAGTCGGGGGAGGGAAGCAGGGTGCTAATCTGTCTCTCTGTACAGAGTATCTTCAGTAGTCCAGGCTCCAGCCATCCTCCCCCCACCACTCCCAGTTCCAGTTCATCTCTTTACCGTTTCACTTGGAGGAAACTGAGGGAAGAAAGACAAAGGGAGAAGATATGAGAGGTTAGAGGGGCTCAATCCACAAGGCTTCAGAGGGCCAGAGAAATAAACTCCAGAGCTGCGAGGAGAGAAAGGGCTTCCCCCTTGAACATTGCTTTGGTGGCTGTCATCTCTCTGAGGGCTGACATCCAAATCCACAGCCTCTTAACCCATTTTCTGAAGTTCCTTTGTTTAGGAAGATATTTCTATAATCGCCTTTACCTCTTTCCCCTAATTCCTAATCTCCTCAATAACCAAAAGAGCCCTTGGAGTGCCTCACCCACCAGAGGAGCAGGGGAAATGGGAAGAGGATCCGTGCAGACTGTTCTAAGCACTTTCCAGGGCCTGCTCTCCCAAGTTAGCCAAAGTTTTCAGAAACTTTTAAGAAATAGATGGAGGATTGCCTGGTATATAGAGCCTTTCCAAAACTGTATTCTGTTTGCTGTATCTTAAAAATCCACATGAGGAGCCACCCTCTTAGGGAGAGACAGAGACAAAATGAAAGAGAGACAGACACAGATAGACGCTGATTGGGAGGATGAGATGTTCCCCTTCAGTTGAGACTAGGAGAGACAGAACCTTGCTGGGCTATGTGGGTTGTTGGTTTGCATTTTATTAATTGTTTCTTGAAATTTGGGAACTCCATCTCAGGCAAGAAATAACTGGAGTGGTTAATATTTTCTCCTTTGTCCCTGGGTGGCATAAGTGGAGGGGCTGATGGCCTCAGGAAAGAAAGAGGATGAGCAGAAAGCAAGCTAGGCTGCTCCTGGACTAAACATATTTGGGGCTCAGGGAGATGTACATTCATTACCTATAAGGGCAGATAGCCAGTTGTGAGCCCTCTATGGGCCCAAGTGACAAAGACCTAGTTGCCTGGGACTTTACAAACTGCTCTCTGCAATGTGAGGATGAGGACCCACCAAAGGGAAAAGGAGAGGGACCATAGACAGGGAAGGCTGGGGTTCACTAAGGAGTTTCAGCCTCACAGGCTAAAACTGCCAGATCTCCCATTTCCCTCATTACAGACAATTCTAGTGCCACTCCAGTCCTCCCAGTCTTTTGACTTCTTTCCCTCTTTTCTTCCCAGTTCCCTCAGCCCTCCCCGTTCTCCCTCCTACTTCCACCGTCCTATCCTGAGCAGAGGGGGTTGCCTAGTCCTGCCAGAGCCCTCGGAGGCAGCCCCAGCGCTGGCGGTGGGTCTCCCTGGGAAGCGGCGGCTGGGAAGGGGGTCTGGTTGGAAAACGGAGTTGGGAAGTTTCCCAGCGTGAGTTGAGCGCTGACGGATTTGTGATCAGCCATAAAACTGGCGCGTTCAGATTCGTAAATCAATCTCGCCTTTCTCACAGTCTAAACGTTCGCTTCATCGGCAGCATGAAAGTGCTCGGCTCGAGCTCAGGCGCTTGTTTATTTGAACGTGGACATTCCCAGGATCCAAAAAGAGCGTGGTCATTTTAACAGAACCTGCTGGCATGCCTTTGTGTCATTTTGCTGTTCTTTTTCTTGTCCTTAAAAATTATTTCTCCGTTTTAGAGATTGCTGTCTTCCCTTGTCCAGCATTTCTCTCTCCCCTCTCTCTCTCTGCCTCCTATTTTTATTTTAGACTTTAGCAGAGTGTTTTTCTTTGGAGGACCATTTTTTAATGGGTTTGTGGCCAGAACCTTTCAGGGAGTTGCCCTCGCTGGAGCCGGGAGCAGGGGCCCACATCAGGACCAGGCAGGATTCAATACCAGTCTGTGTTTTGTATCTGGACAATCAAAGCTGACCACCTCCCCTACAGAGTCTGGGCCCAGCCGGCGCCCCGACCCCATGAGGCCAGAGCAGATTCCAGTGCGTTTGGCTGGGGCTGGGGCAGAGGCCGTGCAGCCGCCACTGTAGCTGGAACCTCCTCCGAGGCCGACATTACGGTGACGGTTTCTTTAAGGTTTATTAAGACAACTGGGTCCCCAATCTTTTCTCCATTGAGTTGCTTTTGGTTTAGACCCCTCCAAACAAGCCAGTGGAGGTCCCTCAGTCCCCTGCTCCCCTACCCTAAAGCTAATTCTTCCCGGATTCCCTGCCTGCCCCGGAGGCTGTGGTCCCGGCTGCCTCAAGAGCTGCTGAGGACAGATAAGGCTGGGGCTTCTTTAGGAATGTCTTTTCTGCTTCCCTTTGCATCCCCACCCCCACCCCATGCCCTGGCCGAGAACTCAGATTCTAGTTGCTTGTAACTGGTCAAGTTTGGCAGGGGTTGTTTTATTTTGTTTATATTTGAGGTGAAGAGGTCTGTGTGTGTCTCTCTCTTTAGGCCTAGGGGATAGATAGTCCCTAGTTATTTAACCCTTTAACAGGCACAGCCACCCCCCATCTTTTTCCCATTGATCAGCCTCCATTGTCTGTTGATTGGAAGCTTGGGGTGCTAACACCTGGGAAATAGGGATCCTGGGGCTGCCAGGCTGACTTCAAAGCTTTTTTTCTTCTTCCCTCCTCTCCTGTTCAAACCTCTAGCTGTCTTCACTGGTGTGTTTGGGAAGTGGGGGAAATGAGACAGGGTGTGACATAGGTGGAAAGAGGCTGACGGTCCGATTCTTTTGTGTAGAAACCTTAGTCCCAGTTTTTGTCTCTAGAATCTATTTTCAAACAGTCAGTTGCATTTGGTTTCCTATAGCAGTGACAGCACAACGGGGAAAAAAGTCCCCCTTGCAATTATTCTCAACTCTGGAAGCTCCAGAGTAATCTCTTTATCCTGTCCCTTTTTTTGCCCCTTCAGAGGGCACCAGAAAAGATCAAAACGAGAATAAAGCCAGAAGTCCCACTCTTTATCCACTTATACCATGGACTTATGAAGTGTTTCTTTTCAAACTGGCTCCTTCAGAAATTTTATCCATTATTTAGGAAGAGAGGGAGTGGGTCCCACTCAAATAAATATCCCCGGGAGTGGGGAGAAAATGGAGTTAGGGAGGGAATCTTAATCCTAAAGGATGCAGAGAGAAGAACTGGAAGCTGAGAAATCCAGGGGCTTGGAGAAGGGCTCTGCGCCCACCCCACCCCCACCCCCCAGACGCCCCTGCAGACTATTTCTGCACCTCCACGAACTAAGCAGAAGCAGGAGAAGAAGGGAGAGAGGAGAGGTGGGCTGTGGGTAAGTGTGTGTCCAGGGGGGTTAGGGAGCTGCAGATGTAGTAGGTATGAATGTAAGTGTGGGAGACAGAAGGAGACTTCACTACTGTTCCATTGGTGGGTTGCGGGGGGAACTTATTTTGCAGGAAAATTTCTCCTCCTGAAGGGGAAGGTCATAGTGGTCCTTTGAGCCTGAAATGGAAAGACCCCCTTCCCCCTCCTGGTCACGTGATTCATTAAATAATTAATGCCGAGGTTGCAGAATAGATATGTATTCGTCAGGAAAATCGCAGGCTCGGTCTCCCTGTTTCTGACGTGCAATTCAACTGTCCTTTGAAAAACAAGCCTGTACCCCGAGAAAAAAAAAGAGAGAGGGGGAGAGAGAGAGAGGGAGAGAGAGAGAAAAAGAAAGGGAGGCAGCAATAAAACAGCCCCGCAGCCGGAGCCACACCGCGGGCTGGGGTATTGTAAGTAGAAGGGATTTCTCACTACCTACCGCGTCTTATATGTCCATGTAAATTTATTGTTTGTTATTAATGTTATTGTCGTAAAATGTGACAAATAGCCATCTTCATTTCCTGCCATTTCTCTTCACATGGTG